TAGCACAGGCCCCCTAGAAATGTGTTCATTGCCACTTTTCCATCGTCTGGATACATCACCTCCGTGAGGGAGAGGTTGGTTCATCCTCTGTGCCTGTAGGGTAACTTAGGTTGTTGGTATGAGCAAGTCCTGTGGGGAGGCTGAGATTTTTTTGGATTGAGATGCTTGTCTGCTAAAAGTTTGGCTGAGGGAAGGAAAGGTTTCTCAGTATATTATATATGCTGGGTGGAAAAGCTTATTCAGATTTGAACCAAAGTAAGGCTGTATCCATTGTAAAAGCTCTATAACTGTTCAGTGGCTTTCAGCCAACTTTATTGAGGCTTAGAATGTGCTCTGGAGACCTGAAACTTAAATCCATGTCCATCAGACTGATAACCACGTAGAATTGGTTCTGTTCATAGGGCAATGCTGAGAAAAGCTGTAGCAAATTAATTCTGGGAATCGTTGTATCTCTTGACTCTCCTGGACTGCTAAACCTGTAAAGGCTTGATGGTCCAAGACTGCATCTGTAGACTTTGGTCCAAGACTGCATCTGTAGACTTTGCTGTAAGATGATGAAATTGTTCTGGAGAGGCTCCATTCTTTTTTGCTTAAGGTGAACTGGGGTAGCGTTGAGCAATTGTTTGTCTTGAATGGGGGTGATGCAAGCTGCATGTAAAGTTATGAACTGATCTGATAATCTGCTTGTTTAGGTTTGCAATTTTTAAGGTTTCTAATTTCCTGAGCAAGGACACCGGCTAATCTTTCAAAGCAAATAGCGTCAAGGCTTCTGTGTTGGAACTGAAATGTCACCCATAGTACTCATGTCAGGCAGTTATCCATTACGACCACTGGAGATAGAAAACCAGTTTTAGAGCTAGGTTGTGCTGCATATATTCATCTCCGTGTTTTTTGAATTTGACTTGAATAAAAGCTTTTCTTCTTTCTCTCTTTCCTACCATTTGAATTTGACTTGAATAAAAGCTTTTCTTCTTTCTCTCTTTCCTACCATATACCATTTTTTTCAGCGGGCGCTTCAAGATCCCAATGTGGCAGCTTTCATGGTTGAACCAATTCAAGGTGAAGCAGGTGTGGTTGTTCCTGACAAAGGCTACCTCACAGGAGTGCGGGACCTCTGCACAAAGCACAATGTAAGGAATTCACTATGACAAGGTGGCTTAAAATTACATGCTGTGTTTACTGACCTATCATGTAAGGTCATCCGCATTTAGGATTTGATGCACCGTTTAATAATTTCCTCGCCTTTCATTGGAATAGCGTAGGGATACTTCCTGGTAAGTTATTGACGGAATATACAATAAGTATTTCTTAGCAGTGCTCGTTTCCTCCCCCAGCTCGCTTCCCCCTGTTTCTTACTGCTGTGACCTAGTTAAGTTTCTCATAGGAGTTCTTGAAACTGTATTTACTCAGAATTCATTTAACTTTCTTTTTTTGCATTTTAAATTTCTTGGGCCAGAAGCCAATTACAGTGCTGGTTCTACCATGGCTATCAGGGGACCTTGTTGTTGGAGTACCTAAGGGCTACCAAGAGTTAGTAACAATGTGAACAAAGTAACAATGATGGGTCATTGCATGAAAGGCTAAAGGAAATATGCTTGTGAATGCTGTTTCTAGATCTCTGAAGAGCAGAGATCTCTGTAGGTTATTCTTCTATTTCACATTTTCTCACGTTCTGTTTCGTACCACACCCTTGTCCCATGTTTTATTATGTTCTGGCTGACTTCTAGTATGAAGTGTTCAATATTGAAAATGCAGCATTAGATCCGTAATTTCCATCCTCCTATAGTGAGGACACACTGAATTAGACTTGCATTCAATGTCTCTGGAAGCAGGGGGAGATGCGTTTATATATATTTCTATTTCCTTCAGTTCTTGTTGTTTATTGCTTCCTAAGCAGGCTACCTTCCCTTCTTATTCCAGGACCGAGTTGGTCAACCTCTCCCTCAGGCCTAGGCCATCTCCTTTATAAATGTAAGGAAACAACAACAAAAGGTCTGCTGACTTTTGGCTTTTTATTCTCTTGGCGAAGCCTGTTTGATCTAAAAAGGAATAGCCTTTGTTCCAATAGAACTTTGATTCTTAAGCTGAAAGTGTTACCCATAAACCTTTCCAGATCTTCAGAGGAAGGTATCCAAATATAATCAATGAAGTTGGCTTCCATATTACCGTGGTACTTACCTCTCATGAAAAATAAGAGATGCTTTACGAAGGATAGTATGTGACAATAGTTTGCAACTTAGGAAAATGCGACCGGAAACGTGGACCTAGGCTCTCAGAGTTATTTAAACAGTTAGCTACCATCAGACTACAAAACCAGCAGTCACTGAAGCGTTTTTCAGAAGCCTCCCAAGGTCAGTTTATTAATGATGCACTGGGAGTAAAGACAGACTAACCCTACTAACCCTATTTTTTTTTTGGACATCCCACTCTTTGTTACATTGCAAATGATTCTATTTAAATAGATTCTGTGGAGCGCACGTTGTGTAGAAAATGTTTTTATGCTAACGCTGTCAGAGAGAGATTGCTATATAGGACGGTATGTTCACTTAGTAGTAGTTTGACATTTCATAGCATATACGTGTCTCCAGAAGCTTTGGAGGGGTAAAGGAAGTATACCTAATGTAATCTAGCTGAGAAGTCTTTCACTTACTGTACGTAACTCTGCTATATTGCTTTAATGAAAGGTCGTGATTAGAATTAGGTGTAAGGGAAAGACATTTTTTTTTCTCTTACGTGTGGATTCTTCTTCTTTTTGTCTCTATAAAGGTTTTATTTATTGTGGATGAAATACAGACCGGTTTAGGTAGAACGGGGAAAATGCTAGCTGTTGACCATGAAAATGTGAGACCTGATCTAATTCTTCTTGGAAAGGCCCTTTCTGGTGGCTTATATCCTGTGAGTAACAAAAATATCTGTTCATTGACTAATGTTTTTAGGTAGTTAATACTGTAAGTCTACCAGTTGGAACACAAGCAAGCAAACTCTTTGTGCGCTGCTCTTGGAAATTGGTGTTTGCAAGAATTAACTACAATTTATGACCCAGATAGTCCGACCTGTGAGAGATGCATATGAAAATAATGAAATGCGTAATGTTACATCCTCTCGGGCTGGAGTGTTTTAAGCTGTTGCGGCCCTGGTCAGTTAATTGCTTGAATTAACTTGGTGTATCACTGTTTTCTTCATTTAGATGTTATCCTACCAGGAACATAAGTTTCCAGTGTTCTGCCTTTCATTCTGAAATTACTGGTTAGTCTCTTATACTATCTCAGGAGAGTACTTCATCGCAGCATGACTGTGATGAATTTCTAGAAGAATTTTGAAAAGGGAAAGAAAATAGTAAAAACGTATTTCTGAACAACTAACATTATTTCACTTGTTTGGGGTGCCCACATTGACTGATTTTATCCTGCTAGATTGTCTTAAATTCCTGGTGATTAAACTGGAAGTTACAACCTGCCTTGACCTATTTTGGCCAACTGAAGCTCTTTCTGAGTTCTTAAACAGAATATTAAATCTTCAAGCTGAATATTATTTCAAGAATTTGAGAAATGCCTCTCAACTGTACCTAGATGTTATATACTGCCAGTATAGCTAAGTAAGGAGGGGATTACGCTGTTATGTGGTTGTCACATATGCTCTCGTCTCTACAGAGCTGGGAATGTAAATGTAATTTATCACCATAGGCTGAAAATTACCATTTCCTGATCACTAAGGAAAAGTTTCTTTCAGAGATTTTTAATTTTTCTCTTCTAAAAATATGTAAATGAATTGGCTGACCTTTCCATTTCAGGTCTCAGCAGTACTATGTGATGATGAAATTATGTTGACCATTAAGCCTGGTGAACATGGATCTACATATGGAGGAAATCCATTAGCTTGCCGTGTGGCCCTGGCAGCACTGGAGGTTTGTGTGTTTGGAGACTTGGATTCCAAAGGAAAAAGGGTGTCGCACTGACGTGATCATACTTTTTTAGCTTGAGTAAATGGCTTAGATTTGCACTATAAGTAGAAATCCAGCTTTAAGTAAGACTAGAGAATTGCAGTAATTAAATTTCTGCAAATATAGTACATCACAAAACAAATTCTGAAGTCCTAATCAGAAAGTTGTCCTAATTTCTGTGTATTTTATTATGTTAATGTTTTAAATGATGGCAAAATAAAACGTATCTAGGGAATAAGATAATTTCACTAAGACAGTTCTAAATCTACTTACTTTACTATACCATATCAAAGAGGCTGCTGGTCAATTAGCTTGATAACACATATGCTACTGGAGGTCAAACAGAAGCTAGTAAAATGTCTTGACAAGAGTCTGTGTTTTGATCGTTCCACGACTGCATAATTAGCCTCATTTAATGCAAGTCACTCAAAGCCTCATTATATATTATACAGTATGTGAACTTGGACAAACTGACAGATTACAAAACTTCAAAGACTTATTACCATTTACTTAAAAATAACAACAAATAAAAATTAGTATCAAATAAAAAAATCAAGGAGATTTATGTTTCTGGTAAACATGAGAGAGCAAAGGCTTGATATTAGTCAGCCTGGATGCGCAGCCTTTGTGGTGACACTTGGGATGAAACAGCTTTTGTATCTGAGTAGTTCTAATATCGTTATGTACAATGTTGGAAAGGATAGCTGAAACAAATGCACTGCCCTTCAGTTGACTGTAGTTCCAACTTCCTCTTAGGTAATTGAAGAAGAAGACTTGGTTAAAAATGCAGAAGTAATGGGTAACATATTGAGAAAAGAGCTCATGAAGACGCCATCTGATATCGTAACTTGCGTAAGAGGAAGAGGACTATTAAATGCAATTGTGATTCGGGAAACCAACGGTAAGAAAGTACAACCAACTGCCGAATCATAGCATGAAAGAATATTTTTGATTTAAATTGAAGGGGTCATTGTGGAATAGGGAGGTGGCCTGCTGGTATCGTGTTTGCGTTCAGATCTTGGCTAATCTTAGCTATAGTACTGTAGTACCTACTGAAAATTTGTTTGGGTAACTTGATACTATCAAAAGTAATTTATTTATTTTTCCTAACTAAATATGAAAACAACTTTTTTTTTTTGTTGAGCTGTTTTTGTTTTGTGATTTCGAATCTGATGGTAAACCTAGCTGCCAATAGATACTTTTTTTGGGGGGAGGGAGTTCACCTGGAGAAAACTGGACTCATCATGTCTGAAAAGCTAGCTTCTGTCAGACCATAGAAGGACTGGCCTTCTGGAATTGCAGGCATCTCTTCTGCTTTGCTGCCTTGGTTTATTCCAGGATAGTTAGAACAGTATGATGAATACAGTAAGGTAAAAGGAAGGAACGAGCTAATGACTAAGAACAGGTTTCTAGGGATTAACGCCTTGAATTGCACCAGAAAATTGGTTAAAAGCTAGCGTAGACATTTATTTTGGTTACGAATATGCTAAGTGACAAGGTGCTGCGGGGAGGTGTAATTCCTTAAGACATGCATGTGATGCAGTGAAATCCATGCATAAAAGAAACCTTATCTGAAGTCCTATCGCAGCTTCCTTTTACCTCCCTTTTGCAGGGTTCTCTTTCTTAAATATATATATTGCTGTATCTGGACAAGCTTTCAGCAGTGGAAGAGCAAAACTCAGGGTGCTGGTGGCAAACTTGTGAGTCCCTTCAGACAAAACGACTATTTTGCAGCTGTCTTGCCTGTTTCAGTGCCTCTCGTTATCTGGGCAGATGTCCAGAACTGGCCACTATCCTTATGAGGAGGAACACACTATATTTAATCTTTTCGTTGCCAGATGACAAGAGGTTTGCACATATCATACACTGCAATTGTGCCACTTATTCTGCTGTAGTATAAACATCTCTCTCCCCTCTTGTTTTTTTTTCTCCTCCCCCCCCCCCCCCCGTGATAACGGACTTCTTGCCAAACCTACCCATGGTGATATCATTCGACTGGCACCGCCGCTTGTGATTAAGGAGGATGAAATCAGAGAGTGCATTGAAATAATTCATAAGACCATTCTGTCGTTCTGAATACGTGGCTTTTCAAGTGTATCTGCTGACTGACCCAAGGTGATGTGTTGAAATATGTACTATGAAGGCCTACTCTTGAAGCAAGCATCTTTCATTCCTTTTATCTAAGAAGACTTAACTCTTTAAAATTTAGCTATATCTTTAAATTATATTGGATCTGAAGAAAATAAATCATGATTCTAAAGAGCTTCCAATCTTGATATGCTTGGAAACAAAGTGGTGAGGTTCTGTTCATCTAGTTATGTACCTACTGAACACTTAAGTCAGAATGTTTGAGGAGAGATAAATGTAGAAATTTGTTTAATTATTGAAAGTCTTGCCCAAAGTTTAAAGTGCAATTTATATATATTTTAATAAGAGTGGTCGTACACTCTCCTAGAATTCTCCAAAACTTCATATTTGGCATTTTCGCCCCTTGGCGAGATGTCTGTAGGGCAGAAGCACTTGTCATTGTGGTTGAATTTCTGTTTCTCATTTGTAGCTAGAAGAAACTTCTAATACTGAAGGTGTGACAAACTAGATGTTATGCTGGTGAACCTGACAAGCATCAGGTTATGTTCTGTATGTAAAATATTTTGATTGTATGACATGAGTTGCTGTTTTCAAGACTGGTCTCTGGCTTTCCAACTTGTAAAATAGATCTGAGTGTGCAGATCTGTTTTTATGGCTATAAATCTTTCTATAATCTACATATTTACATTAAAACTTCTGTTACATTAAAAAAATAAACGTGCAATTCAAATCAACAGTGTATTCAAAAAGAGTGAGCCTGACAATCTTGCAGTAGCCGTGAGCTAGAGCCACGGTGAATAGTGGTGCCTTTGCCGTCTTTGTATTTCTAACTATCTTCACGTTCAAGCTTCTGCTATACTTTTTTCAGGATTGTTGCTTCTGTACCTTCATGCCTTTGTATGCTGCCAAGTGTGGTATTAAGCATGCAGCTGCAGAGGTGGCTGCTATTCTTACACTAGGTTGTTTCTTTGTATTTATTAATTGGCTGAGGCTGAACCCTGATTAATCACTATTAACAAAAATGTTCCCTTTGCCCAGCATAGTGGTTAACTGTAGTCACATGCTTATAATTTGAACTGGTAAATAATCCAGTGGTATTTTGAAAACAACACAGTTTATTGAAAGGAGCCATTCTATCTGACAGTTCTGAATGCTGTGGTTATGTAATACAATTGGAAAGGAGTGAAATAACTGAAAGAAACTTTAAAGTAATCAGCATCTGCAGGAGTCCTTTCAGAGAGCAAGAGCTAGACCTGCCCCTCCCCCCCAAAATCCTTAGCAGCCAAAAAGTTGACTTTTAGAGAATAATAGGGCTGGGAAGGACCCAAAGACATCAGGTCTGTTTCCCTACCCCAGTTACAGCTATGTCCCTGTTCGATCTACCTGAAAGGGCAGGAGAGTTTATAGTCGTCTTAGGCAGTCTGTTTCAGTGCTTTGCTGTCCTTACTGTTAGCAAGATTCTTTTCTCTATGTTTCTGTTGCTGCAGTTTAAGTCCATTTTTACTGTCCCCAGGGCCACAGAGAACAGATATTTCCCTTCTGTACAATGTTTTTTTTTACATACCTAAAGGTGGTTGTTATTCCTGTTTCAGTCATTTCTCCTTCTTTAGTTAAAATCCTGTCTCTTTCCTGATAGGTAACATTTTCTAGAGCCCTTAGCCACTCTTGCTGTTCTCCATCTATGTTTTGGTGCTCTGGCTGTGTCCTCCCTGAGCAGAGCAGGATTAGTTTGTGTGACTTGTATGCTGTATTCCAGTTCATGGCCCAGTATTGTCGTTTAGATTTTCCTGCAGTAGGAAGGTATTTTTTATTTCTCTTCAGCCTGTGCTCCCACAGACTCCCTTTTACACAAACTGTTTTGAAGAACAGCTTTAAAGCTGTTCCCCCCCATCTTTTATTTGTATAATAAGCAAGAAAAACATGCACGTCAAATTCTGCGGTCGAGTCTATTTACTTTCACCCTCTGGTATTCAGACTGTTTCTTTAGTTTCTGATAATCACTTTGGTCTCTACTCTTGTTGTCCTACCTACTTTATGGTTTCAGATTTACTAGAAAAGGACTGTTTGGAACTCGCAGAATTTTTCTATTTCTACAGTAGACCACTGCTGACTGATTTCTGGGCTTTCCATTTATCCCATGGATGTTTCATGAATCCCATTACCTTGGCAAGCTTATGAAAATCAACATCTGTAAAGCCTTAAAATGCCCTTATTTAATGTCTAGGTGATTGAAGTGTGTTCATTTCTGACGTGGAAGTTCTCCAGGTTGGTCTCAATTCTGCATTTTTGCCATGGCCACAGCCACCTGTGTGGGGAAGGGAGGTGCATGGTACCTGCCTAAGCAGCTCAGAAACTCAGAAGCAGGATGGAGGATGCTGAAGTCTCCAGAGCCCGTAGGCATGTTCAGAGCACAACTACCACGCTCTGGTGGAGCAAGGCTGCTTGCAAGGTACAGTGGCATGTGGTTCTCACCTCGTGGTGGCTGGGATCTGCCTCCAGGAGGTGGGTCCGAATGTGTGACTTGCATGTCCCAGACGAGCATTTGTCACTGGCCGCTCCTGCTTGCGTAATAGCGTTACTGTGTGTGAACCAATGGAAGGCTGATGGGGCCAGAAACACAGCAAGGGGGAGGGTGTTTGGCTGCAGCCAAGGAGCTAGAGCGGACGAGTTTAACTCTTTAATTATAGTTTAACTGTCAAAACAAGTATAGAATTACATGTGTTGTTTTGGGAGCAAAGATGAGAACCTAGGACTTTCTTTCCCAGATATTAACTCTGTCACCAGTTAACGTCCTCTTCAACAACAGCAAAAAACATCTTGCCAGTCCTCAGTGAGATAACAAGAAGGGCTGGAAAGGCCAAAGGAAATGTCAGAATTCCTCCTCTTCTGCTGGCAAGATTATACACTATTAGAAAGATACCTACCTCCGATACGTCACGTATGTTTTGGGAGAGAGAGGGCAAAAGAAGGGTTTACAGTATTATGTAAAGTGACTTTTGTCAGTCTTTTAGAAAGCATATAGTGGGATTTGGCCGCTTCTCAGTGACACTGCTTAAAACTCTCAAACGCAAGTACAGCTGCTCATATAACCAATGTTCCCGTAAATCAGTCTCCAATTTTGTTGTCTGGGATTTTGATTAGCCTTAGAAATTTTCTTCAGGGCTCTTATTACCAAAAAAATGTAGACAACTAAAGTGTCTTTAAAGTGCATAATGGCTTTGCTAAACGCTGGTCCTGAACAAAGCTTAATTTGAGGGAGGCAAAACTGGAAAACATTTACAAGTAATGTAATATATACTCTGAAATGTGCAAAGAAAATATGCAAGCTGTTTCATAAAATACTTTTGAGTTTATTATTGCATCAGAACTATAGGAAGCAAAGAAATGAGAAACGCAAGCTCAGAAAATGCCCTTTCTGCACCCTTCCAGTACTTTTCCAAGTGTTTCTCGTTTTGTATTAGAGATGACTGTATGGGAATGGCGTTTCTTTGGTGATGCTTTCTCCTAGTGTAATTGAAATGGATATTTTAAATGATACTTGAAAGAGATCTGAGTATTTAAGACACGTTAGTTACCCTAATGTTTTAGGTTTCTTTAACAAGAGCTATACAGCATTAAAATTTTCCAAAGATACACGTATGTATCTGCAAAATGTTGCTTTAAGTGTTTGGCTGTAAAAGCTTAATCTATCTGCAATACGTTGCCTGCGTATATTTTTGGCCAAGTAGCTTCTGATATTTCTTTGCATCAGGTATGGTATAAGAAGAGCTCTTCTAGATGAATAGTGACTCTGCGTTCAGGACTATGCAAACACAGGGAGGTAATCTAAGCTCCTAAGAGCCAAACCGGCATTCCCCACCCCCAGACCAGCCACTGACTTCAGTGGAAGCTTTGTTTGCAGAAAGAATGCGGAATTGTGCTCGGTGCCCAGGCACTTTGGCAAGGGGAGCATGCATATTTTTTGGCATGAAATTATGGCATATATTCACCAACAGAAAAAAAAATTACTTTGTTTATGGATAAATGTAAACTAAGGTTTAAAGGCACCACGTGAAACAGTGAAGAGAGAGGGAAACGTAATGAGGAGATAGGGAAATATATAATGCAAGTTTTCTGGCAGTCTTGGGAAACATGCTTATGGCATTACCCTTTAGCTGGGGATCTTTTCAGCCTCAGAAACATGGATTTATGTCATCAAACAGTATTTTCTGTTACTTACCAAACTTACCAAAACAAATTGTCTTACTTTAAAGGAATCAAACGCCTGCTGGTCATGACCTGGTGAAGAGCTGCACATCTTGAACCTGTTAGAGATTGCTTCATCATGGAAACTTCTATTTTGTTTGTCTTTCAACAACAATGTTAGTGGTTTAGTTAAGTAGAAAAACATGCCTTAGTTGTGTCTTTCATCTTTTTTTTTTTTTTGGCAGTAGCTGCTTTTTGTTCACTTCTCATCTTTTCTGTCTTTTGGCAGCAGATGGAGCCAGAAGCTCAGCTTTATGCAGAAAGCTTGCTACTGGCTGCAAAATTCTTGGGGTGTGTGACTCTGGAGGGCTTGCTTTGGGTCTTTGCTGATGCAAAAAGTGGCACGAACTTTAGTCCCATCTCTGGGTACTATCTCAATGTGTAATTTACACTGTGTACTCCTGTGGCTAATCTTTGTTAGGGATGGGACTGTGAAGAGAATTCCTGTGTCTCTAGGATGACAAACACCCTGTAATTCTTAGCTGTCAACATGTGACTGATAGGGACGTAGGGACACCTGAGAAGGAAAAATAGTGCTTTTCCTTCTCAAAGCACTGAAGGAGAGCAGATCAGAAGGTGGAGGGGTTGAGAGGAAATTTTAAATATTACTTTAAACTAGGAAGTCACTTTCTGTGGGCTTCCCTGTGAAACTACAGTCTGGGCTAAAAGACTGAGCCGGTTGGGGTTACTGTTATTTGTGCAGTAAAAAAGAGGTGTTTTGCTGAATGCTCACTCAGCCCTAGGCAGGAAAAACAGACAAGAAAAAACTGTACCAGCAGTTTTATGCTGATAATGGCCTTAGTTGTACCGTCATAGAGACCTCACCAAACTACTGCATTGCCACTCCTTGCTGGGGGTCTTGGCGTCTGTGCCAAATGCTTGACAGCGGTAGCTTGTAGTAGTGCCTCGGCTGTAAAGCAGCGTGGGAACCGGACAGGGTTGTAGGGGCCTGCCTCAGGCAGGCAGAGAGCTAATGGGGTCCAGGAAAAACCGCTGAAATGGGCCGCTTCTTAAAATGCTCCTTTGCGTCTCTTTCAAATGCAAGTTAATATGCTTTTATTTTCGTATGTGGGGTAGTCTTTTTGACCGCTGTAGCCTAGCGTGCTGAAAGCTAACAAGGCCCAGATAAGAGGTGACTGTAACGAATCCTGCCCAGTGGTTATGTCCCTCCCTGGCTCTTGTCTGTCTGTCTGCATGTGCTTGTTGGAGACCTCTGAGCAGGGACTGCGCTGTCTGGAAAATCCCCAGGTTGTTATCGGAGCTAGTCCAAATAAATAAGAGTAGAAACCAACTCCTACTCACTCATATAAAGTCCTGTAAATGTCCTGTGATTTAGGCTACGTATGAAGGCCCTGATGAGTCCTGACCCTTTGCACAACATGGTAAACCAAACAAAGGCCTGGGCCTTGGATGAACTCCCAGTCCTTCCCTAGGGCCTGACACATGGGAGACCTAATCCTCAAGCTCATACCGTCATTCAGAATAGATGTGAAATGAGAACTGG